ACTCGCGGTTGCCAGGCATCTCTCCCTACCTCCCCTGTCACTCGCGTTAACAGGCATCTCTCCCTACCTCCCCTGTCACTCGCGGTTGCCAGGCATCTCTCCCTACCTCCCCTGTCACTCGCGGTTGCCAGGCATCTCTCCCTACCTCCCCTGTCACTCGCGGTTGCCAGGCATCTCTCCCTACCTCCCTGTCACTCGCGGTTGCCAGGCATCTCTCCCTACCTCCCCTGTCACTCGCGCTTGCCAGGCATCTCTCCCTACCTCCCCTGTCACTCGGGATTGCCAGGCATCTCTCCCTACCTTCCCTGTCACTCGTGTTAACAGGCATCTCTCCCTACCTCCCCTGTCACTCGCGGTTGCCCGGCATCTCTCCCTACCTCCCCTGTCACTCGCGGTTGCCAGGCATCTCTCCCTACCTCCCCTGTCACTCGCGCTTGCCAGGCATCTCTCCCTACCTCCCCTGTCACTCGCGGTTGCCAGTCATCTCTCCCTACTTCCCCTGTCACTCGCGTTGCCAGGCATCTCTACCTACCTCCCTGTCACTCGCGGTTGCCAGGCATCTCTCCCTGCCTCCCCTGTCACTCACGGTTGCCAGGCATCTCTCCCTACCTCCCCTGTCACTCGCGGTTGCCAGGCATCTCTCCCTATCTCCCCTGTCACTCGCTGTTGCCAGGCATCTCTCCCTACCTCCCCTCTCACTCGCGGTTGCCAGGCATCTCTCCCTACCTCCCCTGTCACTCGCGGTTGCCAGGCATCTCTCCCTACCTCCCCTGTCACTCGCGCTTGCCAGGCATCTCTCCCTACCTCCCCTGTCACTCGCGCTTGCCAGGCATCTCTCCCTACCTCCCCTGTCACTCGCGGTTGCCAGACATCTCTCCCTACCTCCCCTGTCACTCGCGGTTGCAGGCATCTCTCCCTTCTCCCCTGTCACTCGCGGTTGCCAGGCATCTCTCCCTACCTCCCCTGTCACTCGCGGTTGCCAGGCATCTCTCCCTACCTCCCCTGTCACTCGCGGTTGCCAGGCATCTCTCCCTTCCTCCCCTGTCACTCGCGGTTGCCAGGCATCTCTCCCTTTCTCCCCTGTCACTCGCGGTTGCCAGGCATCTCTCCCTGCCTCCCCTGTCACTCGCGGTTGCAACCAGATTTATCTTCTTTCTACTTGGCAGACGATGCACCATCCCCCCAATGAAAAGCAGGGGTGTCACTAGCACGTTAAGAGACCATACAATAAGTGTCAGGGGCCCGAGACTGTTCAACTGCCTCCCAGCACACATAAGGGGGATTACCAACAGACCCCTGGCAGTCTTCAAGCTGGCACTGGACAAGCACCTAAAGTCAGTTCCGGATCAGCCGGGCTGTGGCTCGTATGTTGGTTTGCGTGCAGCCAGCAGCAACAGCCTGGTTGATCAGGCTCTGATCCACCAGGAGGCCTGGTCTCAGACCGGGCCGCGGGGGCGTTGACCCCCGGAACTCTCTCCAGGTAAACTCCAGGTAAACTTTTCCTTATTTATGTTGCTCTGAGAACCTTGTCCCTCACTTTTGTCTGAGCTGCTCCTGTCCGCGCATATAATAATAATATAATAATATCTTTATTTACTACAAGTACATGTACAAGGTATACAGTCCTAGCTGACAACAATGACATACTACTATATAGAAACTCCCTTGTTATGCTCTGCATTTCGGGCAAATTAGGTCAGTGTCCCGGGATGCGACCCACACCAGTCGACTAACACCCAGGTACCCATTTTACTGATGGGGAACATAGACAACAGGTGGAATGAAACACGTCCAATGTTTCTACTCTGGCTGGGAATCGAACCCAGGCCCTCGCCGTGTGAAGCGAGAGCGTTAGCCACCAGGCCACCAGGCCAACTTGGTCTTGTCCTTCATTGCTTTATTACACACCTTATAAATGCTTTCAGCTATTATAAGATGTGTAAATACTTGTCATCATCAGTATTTGAATTATCCTAGGTGAAGTGTTAGTACCTGAAATTAATATTAATTCGCCACCCAGTCAATACAGTTTTAAGCAGCTAACTGGTTAAGCGTGTAACACGTTCTTATAATTATTTTTTCTCAGCCCATGGGTTTCTCTGATCCCTCAGACGTGCGGGTGTTGTCAGTGATACTGGTAACCTACATAAAAGTATAGCTGTATGGCCCTTGTGGACTTAACGCTTAGTTATGATTGTAATAATAATAATAATAATCCGAGAACGGTACCGTTATCCTTGATCCCCCTCCATGGATATGTGCAGGTATTACTCAGGTTCAGAGCATATCACCATCATCCTGGATCCTCACTCATCCATGAATTGGATTGTCACTGAGGTTCATAGAATGACACCATCATTATGGATCCTCACCCATAAATCTTTCTATTGTTTCACTTAATATTATATGAGTTCATGATTGGGTTTCAATATTTTAATATAGCGGGAAGTACGTCTGGTCCGCTTGATTTTTATTAAATTCTTGGGTGCTTTTTTTATGTGAAAGATGCTAATTTCTTTCAAATTCTCATTTATCATTTCTTGTTTTTCTCTTATTTTGTGTGTCTGTGTATCTGTGGATCTGTGCCGTGCCACAGATCCACAGACACACATACACCTTTCCTGTGGCTTACATCGAGTTACATGGTGTTTCAGTTAGCTAGCAGTGTAGAGGTTATTGGGTATATGTGTGCATCTCCAAGAGTGCTGCGCTGTTTTCTTCAGAGACAGGTGAAGAAAAAAGATTTCTATTGAGCCTGACGCAAAGGCTTGAATGCTTCGGATCTGTTAAAGAGGCACTCCTCCTCTCCCCCTTCATCTTTCTCTCCAAGAAGTTGTTGTGATGTCAGCCATTGTTCTGAGCACCTTCGTGCACTCCTTGCTATCAGTTGACTAATGTACAAGTACACACATACTCCAGTCATCGCCTGCACTGCTGCCTCCTCTCTCCACTTCTTGCCTCTAAGTGATTCTCCTCGCTTTGTGTATTATTGTGAATCAATTTATTAATTATTATAGTGTTGTGTTAAGACATATTTACATATGGATTATTAAGATTCATTCTAGAACTCTACAGTGTAATGACTCTGTGTACTTTTCGCCAAGTGATACTGTTCAGGACTTTCTTTGTTACATTTATTAACTCTTAAAGTGTGTGATATACTGTGCCATTTTGAGTCAGTATACTGTGTTACAGATTTATGTTCTATTTTTTTTTTTTCTAGTGTGTAACTCTATGCTCAGTGTGATTCTGCAAGTCTCCAATGATTACTATCTTGTGTTATTATTTTATTTCAGGTTTTGTTTACAGTAAGTTCATTATCAATGTGTAACTTGTTTCTTACTGTAAGAGCGATGCGTCTTTTAATTATTTTTCTCTAGTATCTTGTTCAATTATTTTTATAATATTTGAAGCCGATCAGAGGAGTCTGTCACCTATCACTTGCAAACAAAATTTGGGAATGACGTATGTAGCTTTGAGCAGAGGGCGCCCATACTTGCAAATAGATCCTTGAATCTTGTTCAAAATACATTATACAAGCATTGAAAGTTTGGAGTTGACCGAATAAGGTTTTCTCGAGTAATTAACGAAAATTTGTGAGAAAGAAAAGGAAAATGTTAATGAGAATGTTCCGAGAAAGAGTCTCGTGGTTTAACTAATAAACACAATAAAACCACAAAATTATCTTTTTTCCAGTTGTGTTTTCTCATTTACATTATATTTAAAATTATATAGAATCCTGTAAGAAAAATATAATTTTGATAATTTTAAAAATCTCAATTTGATAAATTTGGCCAAAAAATAAATGGCACTAATACAGCCCAAAATTAGTACTAAAAAAATTCAATTAAGATACTCGTGTATTTAAGGCTTGAGAACGATCAGAAGAGACATTCTCTAGATATGATATTTAAAACAATTTACTTAATGAAATTGGGAAATTAAAACTTAGGGAGCTCAAAGAGAATGTCAGTCTGTGATTTAATAAAGACTACCAATGGTAAAAGTTTGACTCCGATCAGAAAAGACATTCTTCTGTAATTGATTTGATTTAAGTGATTCCAAGTTTTTTTTTATCTATTTCATTGAAGTTTCAAATTTGGACGAAGAATTCTTTAATTTTTTAAATATTTTTTTTTAACACACCGGCCGTAGCAACGAGGTGACCTAAAGAGAAAAACGAAAGTTTCATTCTTTTTAAATTTAGTAATTTATACAGGAGAACGAGATACTAGCCCATTGCTCCTGGTATTTTAGTCGCCTCTTACGACACACATTGATTACACACAAAAAATTATTTTCCACTCTCCAGTGGAGAGATTTTTTTTTCATTTATTCACTAAAATTGGTAATTCGGGATTTATTAAACCCGACAGTAGCCGATCACATGATTATTCTTCAGTTTTGACACGGATTCTAGTGATTCTACCTTTTGTTCCACTATTTTACAACATCAACAAATCTGCTGCACTCCAGTGATAATAATAAATTCTATCCTGACCTTAAGATACGTCAGTATTTTAACAGTGAAGTTCTTCAGAAGATATAAACTGAAAATTATATTGTGTAATTTAACAGGAATAAAAAAATCAATATTTTACACCAAATCGTTAAATTTGCACCCATACGAAGTTCAGAATATTCATAATATTGTCACCTTTAATGCGACCACATCTGTTTTAATACATCGATGTTAACCCTACAGTGTCCTCTATATGAAGTCCTGTACCAGTTTTAAAAGTATTGGTAAATAAGTCACTACATAAACTATAATTTCCATAATTAAGGCAAGTTTTCTTTATCAAAGTTCTATATACAACTGTCATACAACGTTCATCAACAATTTTTACAAGTATTCCCTTAACTCAAGACTTTTAATCATCATATTCATTATTAGAGATACACAGACAACTAACTTAATATTAAGTTTAAGATTAAGTTTGCTAACATACTATATTATATAATAAAGTCTCTCACATATTATTATTTTTCAGACATAAATATCTGGAGATAAATTAAAGATCAGACATAAATATATGGAAATAAATTAAAGTTCTGACGTCGAGTTCCTGAAAATTTCACGAAATATTTAAAAAAATAATCACTATTTGCAATATTTACACAAAATTATACGAGCGCATCACGAAGGCCTATAACTTCAACAAAACGATGTACAATTTAAAAGAGGTTGCGTGCAATTCACCGCAATCTGCTAATACAAATGTTTCCACGAAGGACAAGGGAACCTGTATTAACTCTTCAGGTGATACAAACAGCGTTAGAAAGACGATATCTGTTGAGACCGAGTGTGTGGACACCCCACAACACCTTCCTGATGGACACTCCCAACAGAACATTCTTCGGACTGACACCAAGCCTGTCATAGCCTCTCAAGTAAGTACTAGAATTTTTCAAGATAAGATGCATCAGTTTCCGTCAAACTGCATAACCCAATTTAATCTTAATGTCTTCCAGGTGTTTTTCACTGATATTTACTTGCATGCTTCTGTTTTTGAATTCCATCAGTATTCACTGAACAGTATGATGATTCAAGGTATATTTATAGATACAATATTATTATATACATATGGAAGCACTAAATCCACAGGGGTTTATACAACGAAAGAAAAATTATTAGAAGTTAGGTCTGGTCCATGGAAGATGAACCTCTTGGACCACGAACCCTTTATTGGCATCAAGTCAATCCCCAGAGGAATGTTTAAGGGATCATGCGAAGCAGTTCGGTAGTGTTTCTTGTTAATTATCTTCAGTAGGAGGAAAATGCTTGAGCGATTCTGTTTGGAAAGTGTCGTTTTTTAAGTTATACCAATATGGTGTTTTGTGGAATTGGTATATATGCATGGCATCCTTTTGGAAATGACATGCATGAGAGGCACGTAGGTCGAGGTGGACACTGCTGGGGCACCCACCTAGGGGCGTAGGGCTTCTGACAGTGGTTGGTCTTGGAGGTCAGTCTTTGCATTGGTGAGCACGCACCTAGGGTCGACTGTACTCAGTGTTTTAATCACTCTCTGGGTTATTACTTATATTTTCAGTAAGTTGTAAACAATTTTAGAGAAAAATTCTCTTGTTGGTTTACTGTGTAGTAAAGAGAGACATTCTGGAGAGACTGTCTTTATTTTCACTTTGTTCCTGTCAGTGCTAAACTTTATCGTTATTGCAGAAACGTTGTCAGAATATTTTACCTGTGTCTGTGTCTCATCACACTACTTATCAGCATAATGTGGCAGCCAACCCACATTGAAAGTCACAGTACAGTGGTTGGAATAATTCACAAATCATTCACCCCTTTTATATTAAATTCCCTAACCCCGTATGTCTGTCTACCCTTATAATGGTGAAGGAGGAAACGAAACGTAGTCTAAATTTCCCTATTTAAGTGTGAGTTTGTGTAGTTAATCTTCTTAGTTTGCTTATACTAAAATCATAATATTTTGGTCCAAGGAAATAGAAGCTAAAATTCACTTTCCAGACTAATGATACGGTTATAAAAATTAGATATTTGAATTGTGTGAGCTTCAGTTTAGATCTGAGGTTCAATAAATTCTTTCTTAAAATTTCGGCCTTTTTGGCAAATGTGTGGCAGATTATTATTTTTTAATTGGAACAATACATACAGTAGTTCCTAATTTTTCAAGTATCAAAAATTTCGTGGACCAAGAGATTTAGGCTTATAAAATATACCGAAGCTGGCATATAACTATGACTAGCATGTATCTGTTTACACAGGTAATTGCATCACTGGTTATGGCACTCGTGGAAGGAGGGAGTGGCATTGTAATGGCTTTCTCTGGCATCACGCTGCTGCAACTCACCGACCAACAGACAAACGATCTCTTCTTAAACCAGTCACAAGCAGCATTATTTGGTATGGATTATATGAATTAAATCGTGGGGGAAGAACTGAAAATGGGAGGTAATGAGGTCTGATCCAAGAAAAGAAAGAGTAGCTCTAATTCCTCGGATTATGAATCATTCTTGAACCTTATTGCATCTACTTCAAAGATCTTAGGCATGGAGACTGTGTAATTCCCTTGAATATATAAAAACATAAGAACATAAGAACTTAAGAAAGAAGGAACACTGCAACAGGCCTACTGACCCATGCGGAGCAGGTCCATGTCCCCCCCCCCCGGATTAGCCCAATGACCCACCCAGTCTGGTCACCTCCACTGAAGGAAGGAGCACGGCATCAGACCCAGCAGCACAAACTAGTCAGGTCCAATTCACACCCACCCACACCAACTCATGTATTTATCTAACCTATTTTTAAAACTACACAACGCTTTAGCCTCAATAACTGTACTCGGGAGTTTGTTCCACTCATCCACAACTCTATTACCAAACCAGTGCTTTCCTATATCCTTCCTGAATCTGAATTTTTCCAACTTGAGACCATTGCTGCGAGTCCTGTCTTGGCCGGAAATTTTCATCACGCTATTTACATCCCCTTTATTTATTCCTGTTTTCCATTTATACACCTCGATCATATATATATATATATATATATATATATATATATATATATATATATATATATATATATATATATATATATATATCTTTATTCTCCATGGGGAAGTGTCAATTCACTTGGCACAAGTGAGGCACATTGTTTCAGCTTTGGCGGGCTTGTCTGTGATTGACCAGTGAACCAAGGTACTGATTTAACGACGAGTAACCTATTGATCGTTAAACCCTTAGCACCTGGTTCACTGGTCAGGAAGAAGCCTATATGGGAGTGTGATATACGCCGAATAAAATGTAACATATTCGTAGCATGCCACAATCATCTCCCTTTTTCACGCTCTGATCACCTCCCTTTTTCACGCTCTGGTCATCTCACTTTTTTACTCTCTGATTACCTGTTTTTTCACGCTACGATCATCTCACTTTTTCACGCTCTGATCACCTCCCCTTTTCACGTTCTGATCACCTCCCTTTTTCACGTTCTGATCACCTCCATTTTTCACGTTCTGACCACCTCCCTTTTTCACGCTCTGATCACCTCCCTTTTTCACGTTCTGATAATTTCCCTTTTTTACTTTCTGATCACTTCCTTTTTTCACGCTCTGATCATCTCCCTTTTTCACGTTCTGATCACCTCTGCTTTTCACGCTACGATCATCCCCAATGTCCTCGAATCAAAAATTTTACGTGATTTACCTTTGGGTGGGGAAAGTTTTGGTTTCCCTAAGAGTTTATCTTCACTCCATATCTTCGGATCAAGATTTTGTTCTCCTTGTTTTTATATTTTCTTACTTTTATATTTTCTTAGAATTGAAATAGGAAATTCAATTGGTGTATAAGGCACATATTACGAAACATTTCCACATAAGTGACATTTATGTTTTCTTAAGGTGTATCGAGGTTTTATACAGAGTTAAACATATTCAAACACTGGTAAATTTTATTGTGGTAAACAAAGGTAAGTACATTAAAAAAAATGGTAAGAAATTGATAAACAAATACAATTTCAAACATTCTTCAAGAAATACATTATATAATGAGCATTTATGTACCATTTCAGTGTTACATGTTTATAAATCTTTTAATCTTATTAGGTATATGCAATGTTACACAACTTTTCACATATATAAGGGTGAACATTGTCCTAAGTCAGGGGTAGATCAGGGTGATCATAACCTAAGGAACTGGTGGTATCTTTTATATTACCAAAAGCGGACAAACCCCTCTTTTTAATCTTCACTGTACACATTTCCCCTTCACGTTACTAATCGATTTACACTCAGAAGTTTCCTTATTTGGATTAGAAAAAGCACTCTTATAGCCAGCGTATGGACTGGGATGGGATTCGTTTTGCTCTGCTGATAATTCCCGTCTCATCATCCAACTTTACAGAATATATTTTTGCCTCAGAACTACCTAATTCACTAATATTATAGTGTTATTTCAGATTTTAATAAACGTAATCACTTTTCCCTGCTCATATTAAACAATGGACGATCTCTGGGATAATTAGAGAAATCCATATATGATACAAATGGTTTCTCTTCAACTCACTGTGAACATCCCTACATTTTATGCTGAACGTGTTAGAATCTGTGTCTGTATACAACAAATGAACGTCATCTTCTTGGTGATCTTTCAAAACTTTATACCAAAAGTAATACAATTTCTTTTTGGCAATTTCAAGAATTTCAGTACCGAGATAGAGGGTTTATTAACCAAAAATTTTGGCTTGGTAAATGAACAAATTATTCTGTCTCGACCGAGGCAGCGTGACCTGGAAAAAGAAGAAACACTTTCATTATCATTCATTCTATCAGTGTCTTGCCAGAGGCGTGCCTACACTACATTGATAAAGCAGCAACATAATAATAACGTTCCTTTAGAGTCCAGGCACTGTACTTCCCACCTCCAGGACTCATATCCGGCTAACAGGTTTCGGTGAATCCCGTCATAAATGTTACTTTGCTCACACTCCAACAGCTCGCCAAGTCCTAAAAACCATTTGTCTCCATTTCTGTTTAACATGTCCACGCATGCTTGCTGGAAGTCCAAGCCCCTCGCATGCAAAACTTCCTTTACCCCCTCCCTTCATCCTTTTCTAGGATGACCCCTACCCCACCTTCCTTCTACTACAGATTCATATGCCCTCCGAGTTATTCTACTTTGTTCCATCCTCTCTCAATGTCCGAACCACCTCAACAACCCTTCGTCTTCCCTCTGCACCTCCTAATCTCCAAGCTACTGATTTTCTGTGTTACATTCACTCTGCATCTTACCTTCAGACACGACATCTCCACTGCCTCCAGCCTTCTATTTTTTTTTTTTTGGCAACATTCACTACCCATGCTTCACACCGGTGTAAGAACGTTGGTACCACTATACTCTCATACATTCCCCTCTTTACTTCCATGGATAATGTTCTTTGTCTCCACAGACTCCTCACTGCGCCACCCACCTCTTTTCCTCATCAGTTTTATGATTCACGTTCTCTCTCATCTGCTAAAGGGTTCACTGCCAAATATCTGAATATATTCACTACCCCCATACTCCCTCCAGTCTGATACATAATCTTTCATTGTTTAAATCATCACCTTGCTCATTCCTACGTTCACTTTTAATTTCCTTCTTTTACATACCCTTCCAAACTCGTTTACCAACTCTGCATCCTTCTTTTCAGAATCTCCTAAGAGCACAGTGTCATCAGAAAAAAAGAACTGTGATAAATTCCCACTTTGTGTTAAATTCTCTCTTTTAATCTCCCACCTCTTGACAACACCCGATCATTCTTACAACCCACATCTGCAAATATATTGAACACCCATGGTGACATCACGCATCCCTGTCTAATGCCTACTTCTACTGGGAAATAAACTCCCTCTCTCCTACATACTCTAACCTGACCCTCATTATCCTCGTAAAAACTTTTAACTGCTTTCAGTAACATACCACCAATTCCATACATTTGCAACGTCTGCCACATTGCCACCCCAATCCACCCTATCATATGCCTTTTCAAGATCCATAAATGCAACAAAAACCACATTACCATTATCTAAATACTGTTCTTCACTGTTTCACTGTAAACACTTGGTCTACATACCCCCTAACCTTCCTAAGGCCGCCTTGTTCATCTGTGATCCTGCTCTGCGCCTTACTCTTAATTCTCTTAATAATAACTCTACGGTACACTTTACCAGATATATCAACAGACTTATTCCCTTATAATTTTTACACTCTCTTTGGATCCCTTTACCTTTATAGAAAGGAATTATGAATTCTCTCTAATAATCTCTAAGTACCTTCCCGGTTTCCATACATTTATTAAAGAAAAGCACCAACTATTCCAAAATTATATTCCCACCTACTTTTAACATTTCTATCTTTACTCCATCAATCCCAGCAGCTTCACCCGTTTTGTTCTGCCCATTGTCTCACGCACCTCACAACTGGCTCTTCCTCACTCCTATAAGATGTTGTACCTCCCTGTCCAATGCACGAAATGACAACTTGCCTATCTTCATCAGCATTTAACAGTTCCTCCATCTTCCCGATACTTCCAACTCTCCTTCTAATAACTCTCCTATTTTTAACTGTCAAATTCATTTATTTCCTAGGCTTTCTTAACATATTAATCTCATTCTAAATCTTTTTTTCTTATTCTCAGCAAAATTTATTGATAGCATCTCATCCACTCTCTCATTCACTCTCATTTTTACATTCCTTCACCACACTCTTAACCTCTCTTTTTTTCTCTCCATAAACTCCTCCCTCCTTGCACCATTTCTACTTTGTAAAAGCTTTCATATGCTAACTTTTTCTCTCTTACTACTCTCTTTACCTCATCATCTACTATTCCCTCTTCTTCCATCTTGCTCCCACTTTTCTGTAACGACACACTTTTGCTGAACACTCTAACACTACATTCTTCAAGCTATCCCAAATCTCTTAACCCCATTGCCTATACTCTCACTAGCCCGTCTTTCTTCCAGTAGTTGTTTATATCTTACCCTAACTGCCTCTTTTAATTTATGAACCTTCACCCTCTGGCCTCTGCCCTCTGGCCCCTCTACAAACGTGCACATCCTGAAGTCTACCCATTAGTCATTCAACTTTCAATACATAGTCTAACAAGCTTCTGTCATTACACCCTGTATATTATCATGTATACTTATCCTTTTCACTATAAAACATGTATAACCTATTATCAAATCCTTTTCACTATAAAACATGTATAACCTATTATCAAATCCTTTTCACTATAAAACATGTATAACCTATTATCAAATCCTTTTCACTACAGAGTTCAAAGGCATCCCATTATCATTTACATCTGCCACCCAACACTTGCCTACCACGCCCTCTGTAATCGTTTCATTCATGTCCCCCACCACGACT